TCTGGGCTGTGTGGTCCTGCTAAGCACTTTCTAATGAGAATGTAATGGAACTCGTTAGTGTCTGCCATTTTATTATGTGGGTTGAAAATTACTTCTTAGTGCGGATGTGCTCAGTCTTCATGCTGATCGTTCATATGTTTTGCTGGAAGGATATGAGCACATTTATCTCAGAGCCAGGGAGTGCCTTCTACCTCTCTGAAGGCAAGGACTCGGTGTGCTCCGATTCCCTTGTCCTGGCAGCAGGATGGAGAGATTGCTGTCTCACTTCCTTGCGTGCTGTGTCTGCATGAGAGAGCTGAACTCCTGCTAACCTGCCCAGCGGGACTGTGCAGCACAGCAGGAGGCTGCAGCCCCATCCCTTTGCCACACGCTGGCTCCTGGCCCTCCTCGTGCCACCAGCGCTCCTCTGTCTCCATGATTTCTGAGAATGCTTAGGACAGATTCATTGGTTTTCAATGGGGAACCACCAGGCTTGCTAAAATAGAAAATTCCTAGCTGGATCTCAGCACCGCCACTGGTGGCACAGAGACTTGGGAATGGTCTCTGCATCAATGTGCCACAATGTCAGGTTTCTCTTTCACAGATAAGACCTGAGTGTCCTTTGAAAGATTTTTCTCTGTAGATGTCAGAGGTAGTCCTGCAATTCAATCAATTGTGCTGAATTTGCAAGTCACTGGGAAGCAGAGCAGATATGGCAAATATCTGGGACAACTGAATCAGCCCAAAAGCAGCAGTGCGAAGGAGCGCTGCTGAATTCGCACAACCTTCAGCGTGCCGTCCTGCACAGCGTCCCCACCCAGCAGAATTCACAGACCAGTAACAACAAGGTACATAATTCAAAGCCTATGACTCAGGATGGGAAGTTTGGGTTTTTCTTGGCAAAATCCCCTTTCTCTTTCTGAAAGCATTACAGGTGCCTGATCCCTAACGTGCTGCTGCTCATACTTAAAACACGGGTTTGCATCTGACATCCTCAGCGGACAGAGCAATCACAACTCACTGCTAGCAAACAAATGGTGTGAAGGAGTCCAGGAATGACCATTTGGACCCAAAATGGTCCAAACAGCCTGCAAGGCTGGCACACCTTTGGGATGTCAGACAAAATGATGTGATCCAGAGCATGCCCAACACACTGCAGCTGCTTGTGGGCAATGGAGATCAAGTTACAGCTAAAGGAAAACTCCACAAAACGCAAGTAATGTTGATCTTCCTTCTCCAGCACCTGTCAAGCTCTGTTACTTGCTGATGTAGCAGCAGTTGTTTCACACCCTGTGTTGTCTAGCAGGGGTCAGAGCTGGTTTTCTTTTTTTTAATGTTAGTTCTTTACAAACACGTACTCCTGGCTTGACCACAAGTAGCTCAGAGGTATTGATATCACCTTAAATCCCAGTCAGTCCAGAAACTGTTATCATATTTGTTGAAAGTGCATTAGCTAAAAGGTTCAATGCATCAGTAGCTCGGTTTAAAACACCAGGCACCCTGTTGGCTTGTTAGCATCCTGCTCTGGGTTTTATGAGGGTTGGGAGAAAAATGCATGGGGCTGGAGTGGAGCAGCACTGAATGAAAGCTGTTCCCAAAGTGAAGGTCACTCCCCCAGGAGAGGCTGTCGGCCTGGAAAGCATCTTTAAACCTACAGGCCAGAGTCAAAGCAGCCAGGCGGCTGTGATAAATATGCAAGCCATGCTTCATTCAGGGAGAAAGAAGTGAGCTGTTGTATGCAGGGTGAGGGAGGTTGGGAGCTCCTGCCCAAAGCCGGCTCCACAGCTGCTGATGCCAGCAGAGGAATTTCCCCAGAGACTGCATGCTCAGAGGCTGCACCACGGCTGGCGAAAAGCACAGGGATGGGAGAAAGCTGGAAGGCATGGGGACACAGGTGGGGTGAAGGGCCAGCCCCAGAGGCAGGCTTGGGGAGATGGTGAGGTGCTTTTATTGCTTTTGGGGAAAGCAGAGCTGGATTTGTTCCCAGTAAATTGTGCTGCAGAAACACTGCGACTTCTTGGCTGCTTCTCAGCATGTCCCCAGAGCTCGGGAACAGAATATTCCAGCTACCAACACAGCATGTGCTGCCTGTTGGGCAGAGCGGGGGAGATGGACTGGCAGAGGTGAGGACACCGGGAACACTGTGGTGCGTGGAGGCTGCCAGACATTGCCCATGTGCTTACACTAACTCGAGCCTGCATGCACCAAGCACAGCTCACTAGCAGAGCTTCCCTTCACAGAGAGCATCCATGTTTGCATGGTAGCCAGCCAAAGGCAGCGAGGCAATTTGTCCTCCTGGCTGATGCATAAAGGCCGTGCATAAGCTCGACTGCTTGCACGAACAATTTTCTTTCTTCCTCCTTGGCCATTAATTTATTTTTTTTAGCATTTAAAACTATGACACGGTTCAGTCTGGCTGCCCACAGAGTGAGCGTGGAGCGAGAGCCTCACCCAGCTCGCTCCGCCCTGCAGCCACTTTGGCTCTCACCCATCGCAGGCTCTTCCTGCTCACGTGGCAGAGCTGGGCAGCCCAGGCTGGCATCTGCCACCCAGCTGAGGTTGGCACTGCATGTCCCAAAGCCTCACAGAAGGTAAATATGTGAGCCCTGCTGGAAGGAAATCAACATGAGATGTGTAGTCTGCAAAGTGTGCTTATGAGTGCATAGAGACCCCCTTGGAAATATGGGACTGGGCTGACAGGGCTACAGGCTACTGTTTTGTTATTGCAGCTCAAATATGAGAACATCTGCTCTGGATATTCAGCCAGGCTGCAAGGCCAGTGCTATCTCTTCTAGAGTTATAACCAAATCACACAAATTTCCTTTCGTAATTGTACTGGACAGATTCTTAAAAGTTTCTGGGACACATGGCACACTCTGGTGATCCCTGGGCTGTGGCACACAGTGACACTGCATCACATGAATGTGCTCACTGCTTTGGGGGTAGCCAAGTGGATCCTGAGGGAGAAAAACACTTTTTAAAGCCTGGATGGGAATGGAAGTTCCCTTGGGCTTCATTCTGCTTTTGAGGCTGGAAACACAAACTCCACTGGCTGTAGTAAGAACTAGGCAATAAGCACACATATCTTGGGCTGGGTATCAAGGGACACATGGGCCAAAATAGCCTCAGTGGAGAATCCCTGATAACCTAAGACTCTGTCTAGGGGCCAGTCAGACCTCTGACTCTGTTCCCCTTCTGAATGAGATGCTAAACTATGTCTGCCTCTCCTTCCCTTCTAACTGGTTAGCTGTGCAATCAGCTTTCTATTCTTCTCCATGCATTAGCTAGGAGCTATGTTTTCAGTGCCTTGTCACTTTGTTAGTGATTCTGCAGGGTCTGCATAGGTCTCTCCATATCAAACACCGAGTTTTTTAGGTGAACATTTTTGGGTACAAACGGGGCAGTGTGCTCATTGAAGAGAACAGGCCGGCGTGAAGCTTGTTATCAATGCTGTTTTTATTTATAAAGTGCCACTGTAAATCAAAAAAGTCTTGTTAAATGATAACAATAGTGCAGGCTTAGCATTACGCCTTGCTTTTCATATGTGTATAATTTGTGCATAACTACACACAGGATTTGGACTCTGGCTGGCCTGCTGCATCAGGGGACAAGGACTGAGGGCATTAGAGACAGTCATGACCAAGTGACATTCCATTAGCTAGGGGTTAATCAAGTATTTTAACCTCCTCAAATGAAAGTGTGCAGGTTTTGCCGGGCTACAAAAGCTACTCCTTTAATCTCTTTCCATGAAACACACTGCATTCTCCAATCATCTTTGTAGTCCTTACTCCATTTCATCATCCTCGAATGTGGATAACCACAATTACACACACTGCTCCGGAGGAAGGCTCATCAGTGCCTTCACTAATGGGATAAAGAGCTTCTGATGCATTTGAGGTTCACACTTGCCTTTTTCATGTTTTTTTTGACGTCGTGGTGTAGTCACCCTATGACAGCGACCAAGCCACCTCTCCTGGCTGCGGTCACTAATCAGCCTTCTGATGGCTCCTTATTTGCCTTTCTGGGCCGTGAGCCATCCTCCCAGCCCTCCTGCCTTTAACCTTCACCAAAGTCACTGAACATCCCGAGTTGGAAGGGACCTATAGGGATCACTGAGTCCAACTCCGGGCTCCATACAGCATCATCCAAATCAGATCCCTATGTCTGAGAGCCAACGCTCCTTGAGCTCCGGCAGCTCAGAGCTGTGCCAACCGCCCTGGGCAGCCCATTCCATGACCGCTGCCTTCTGCTGCAGAGCTTTTCCCTTCCCACCCCCTTTACCTTCCCCAACACAGCTCCGTGCTGTGCCATAGACACAGCCTGTGATCATCAGACACCTGATTTTGTGTCCCCCTGATGGAGGAGAGAATCTGCTATGGGTGTCCCTTGTCTCAGTTCAGTTAGAATCACGGAACACCCTGAGCTAGAAGGGACTCGTAAGGATCACCGAACCTTACCCCTTCTGCACAGAACCACCCAAAAATCAGACCGTATGACTGAGAGCGTTGTCCAGACGCTTCCTGAACTCTGCCAACCCCGGTTCCACATCCACTGCCCTACAGACACCATTCTGACGCCCGACCACCCGCTGGCGAAGAACTGCGAAGCCCCTTCCCATCACAGCCCCCAGGATCAGTTCAGCAGCGGCACTCCTACAACCGAGCAACGACCAGCGCCTCACAACACACCTCCATACCGGCACTCCCAAGGGTAGTTCCCTTCCTGCACTACCAGCCATCCGGCCGGGGGCTGCGAGGAGCAGATCGCAGCGGTCCCGTCCCCCGCCCCCCATCCCCTCCACGCGCCGCCTCAATCGCCCCCGCGGCCCCTTTAAGCGCCCCCACTCGCGGCCGGGCGTTGCATCAGGCACGTGCGCGCCGCCGGCCGGCCGGGGGCGCGCCCCGCCCCTCCTTTCCCCTCTTCCCCTCCCCTTAGGTCGGGTGTGTGCGCGCGCGCGGCCGGGGCGGCGCTGCGCGGCGCGCGCCCCCGCGGCTAGTCGCGTGGTCCCCGCGCGGCTCCATATTGCTGCGGCGGCGGCCGCTGTGGGGGGGGCGGGGGGAGACGCCGCGTGCGCGTGTGAGTGCGCTGAGGGGGCGCTTCCCCCCGTGCGGGGCGGGGGCGCGCAGATGGCGACGCAGGTGGAGGCGCTGCTGCCCGGCGCCCCGCTGCTGCCCGCCGAGGAGCGCGCCCTGGTGCTGAAGCCGCCGCAGGACGGCGGCCGGGAGAAGGGCGAACCGCCCATGGGCCCCGACGGCGGCCCCGCGGCTCCGCGGCCGCCCAGCGCCAAGCAGCAGAAAGAGGAGAGCAACAACCAGGAGAAGGAGAGCCTGCTGCGGGCGGGCGGCGAGGCGGAGGAGGGCGGCGAGGCGGGCGGCGGCGGAGCGGGGAGAAGGGAGTTCATCGAGGCTCCGCCGCCCAAGGTGAACCCCTGGACGAAGAACGCGGCCGCGCTGGCGGTCAACGGGCAGTCGCCTCCAGGTGGGTGCGGGGGGGCGGCGAGGGATCCGGGGGTGCGGCGGCGGCGACCGCGCCCCGGCCGGCAGCGCCATGCGGCACGGCGTGCGGCCCGAGGGAGCGCGGCGGGGAGGGGGGGAACCGGCCGGGCCGCGAGCGGGGAGAGGGGGAGGGGAGCGGCCGGGCCGGGGCCATGCGGCTGGGGGAGGCCCGAGGCGGGCGGAGGGCGCGGTGCGGGCCGCGCTCGTTGGGCCGGGCGGGCGGGCAGGAGGAGGCCTCCCCTTCCCAGCATTCCGCCGCCGCGCAGGCAACGTGGTGGCTTCCCCCGGCCCGGCATGTGATTTCCCACACGGCTCGGCCTCCTCCTCCGCCGGCCCACGTGCGCGGCTCCGAGTTCGAGTTCGGCCCGATGGGGGGAGGGAGGGAGGGAGGCCCCGGGGTGCCGTGCGGAGGCCTCGTGTGCGCCGTGCGGGCCCCGCGGGTTCCACGGGCCGTGCGTGCTGTGCTGAGGCCCCGGCGCCTGTCGTAAGGCTGAGGCGAAATGGCTGAGCGCCGCTGCTTCGCCTCTTCGGGTTTCTTTCTTTTTGTTGTTTTGCTTGTTTATTTGGTAGGAGATGCAGTGCTATTAGGATTGACTTCTTCTCGGGAAGAGCGGTGAGGCTCTGGAATGAGCTGCCCGGGGAGGTGGTGGAATCCCCGGCCCTGGAGGTGCTCGAGAAATGTGGATGTGGTGCTGAGGGACGGGGCTTAGCGGGCAGTGTTGGTGGTACAGATGGACTAGATGACCTCAGAGGCCTTTTCCAGCTTCTGTGCTTGGGAGCTGCTTGGCTGAAGTTTGATTCCTAGTATTTTTGGCCTATCTCTGCGAGCTCCACAGTCACGCTGCCAGGTATGACATCAGGTTCCTTGTTACTGTGCTGTGTTTTGCAAGAAGCATTGCAGGCTAGGTGGGATGATTCACCAGAGGTATTATTGATTTTTGAAAGATGGACACCTCTGCAATTTCCACCTGGAAAGCTGTCGTCTTAATGGTAGCGTACAGGAGAAGGTCAGTGTGCCAGGTAAAAGTCTGAGCCCAGATGGTTTGGTGGTTTGTCATTGTGTGTGCGATGCACAACGAAATCCAGCACTGTGCTGCTGTCCGCATTTTCCTCTTGCATGCAGCGTGACATCCAGCTGCTCACACTGCTCCTTTGTGTGAGAGCTGGGCTCTGTCACGCTGCCTCCTTAGGCAACACTCCCTAGGAATCAACCAAAAGGTGCAAAAATACGAGACGTTTCCCCAGTGTTTCTGTTAGAGGCCTTGCAGCGCATCTGAAACATGCTAAAGTGGGGACTCAGGAGCCTGAGCAGGCTCCGTGTGGCAGATGAGGGGACTCTGCAATGCCTGATATGATTTTGAGGGAATAGCATAACAGTGGGCAATAAACATGCAACACCCAGCACATTGTTGGGCCTGGCCCAGTTCTCCCAGTATTCCTGGAGGAGTTGAAATAATGGAATTGGTTTTTGCAGTGCCCCAGACGCTGCCACTTGGCTCTCTTGCTCTTGGGGCATTGTTTCTTTTGCTGCCCGGTTCGTTAGCAGAAGAGAAAACGTGTAAAACAAACACGACTGGCGAACTCCCACGAGAGGCAGACTGGTGGCTGGCCTTGCATAGCAGCCCTTTGCCTGAGTGCCTTCTCATAGCCTTCACAGGCTCCTGCCATGTCTTTGCTGCTTTGGCTGGAGGATTTCTTCCAGCAGATCTTTCTGAAAAGACATCTGGAGTGTGAGAATGTGCAAAAGTTGTGCTGTGGTGCAGAAGATGAGCTGTGGTGTTGCAGTGACCTCCAGGAGATCATAAAAGAAAAGTGGCTTCTCTGTATGCTTGAAACACATTGAGCACACGTAAACTCTGGAAAGGCATTACTGAATGTTTTTAGGTTTTTAGCATAGGAACCGTGGTTGGCAATTGAGCTGTGCTCCCAGCATGGTGTTGTGTGCTGATTTACTGAATGTTTCCAGCCCTGATCCTGCTATAGAGGAGGTAGTGAGAAGGGCTGGGAGCTAGTGAACATCAGGACAGCTCTCTAAAGATATGGGGATCCCTCTATGGCTTGTTTTACAGGCTTTCAAAGCCCTAATTTTTTATAATGATTGTATTAATTATAGGCCTGAAGAGCAGATTTAATGGACAAGACATGCTCCTTAAGGAGTTCACTCGTTCTATAACGATCTGTGCTGGAATTAGTGCTTACTAAAGTAAAGGAATTGAGCTCAAGCTCAGAGGAAAACAGAGCTGTACTCAAAATCTCTGTGAGTTTTCACTATCTATGTCTGACTACGGATGTGGAAGAGCTTGGCAAATCCCCTTTTGCTTGTTTTGAACTTTACTTCCTGCAGCTAAACATCACCTGGGAAGGGTGAATGCGTGGAGGTTTGATGCAGATGCCAAGTAACAGGATCTGGTTTGGGAGGAATTAGGGTTTATTTCCAGAAGCAGATGTTTTTGGGGTACACTGAAGTTTGGGAGCGAGGTCAGTATTGGAAAGTTTGAGTAAATGTTGCTGCTTTTTCAGGAAGGCAGGCTGAAGCAAAGCCTCTCCTTGCTGCTTAACCCCTCCTCCCAAAAGCATAACTGCATGGCATTAAGGGTAGAAACCATTAGGCCGAGTTAGACAACAGCAGCGCTGCTGGTGCTATAAGCAGAGGATCAGGCACTGGTGGAGAGATGCACCCAGCAATCTGTCATGGTGCTTGTCACAACGTGCACTATATTTCTGTTTGTGTGCATTTCAGAGTTGGGGTGCAAGTGGGAAGAAGGGGGTGGTCCTTTAAGCTGTGAAATGACACATAAGCATGTCAAATGTGGCAAGGGTTGTGTTAGTACTTACTGCTCATGAGGGACGCTGACAGGGCTGGTAATGACACCTCATTTTTGCTCTCTCATCAAATAGCAAGGTCTGTGTGACAGTCCCTCCTTACATGCAAGTTGCTGTGTGTTTTCTTCTTATCATGTAAATAAATGCAGCCAGCAGCCTGACTTGCAAAGACACAATTGCAGGGAATGTATGTGCAGGAGTGAAGGAAACATTTTCTGACAAAACCAGCTTTGCACTTCTGGCTATAAACCAAATTTGAAATATTTTCTCCTAATTCTTCAATAAAGAAATGTGGCTTCAGTTAAGACAACTCGACCTTCTGGAACATTTTGTACTCCTCTGTTGTGCCCTGCACCAGTGCTAGCAGTGATGCAAGCGTTGGTGCGGACAGGTGTTAACAGCACCCCGTTTTGAAAACCTGCTGGATTTATTTCAAGAAATGTTGCATCAAGGCACTTGGCACTTCTTAATTTTTAAAGCCATTTACATCTTGGAAATAAGAACATGCAAATTTTAATGACTAGCAGTGCCATTGCTAAGCACTAACTTTTATGCCATCTCTCCTTCTAGTTGCAAATTCAGTATTTCTTAGTGGAGATGCAAGAGGTGCTTTAGTTTCTTGAGCAGAGTTTCTTGCTTGCCATTTGGCAGATGCACTGGGAGGATAAGCAGCACTTTCCAGAAGGCACACCTTAGTTCCTAGCAGCAAGCAGTGGAGGTTGGCTGCCTATTGTTCAGAGATGGCAGCACACAGGCTGGGCTGGCTACTGGTGCTGAGAAGAAGGCAGGGAAAGATAGATTCATGAGCTTCTCACCCTTCAATGACTAAGTCCCCAAAGGGCTTTCCTTGAAGCCAGCCTCCAGTACAGGAGATAAGCTGTGTGGAAAGCTCATTTTACCTTTGGCATTTCTTTCTATTTAGAGTAGATGCGCACATCTGCCTGCTGGGGTATCTAGCGTGGTAGAACTGCACACACCTATTTCCAAAGCGTTGGGCAATTCTTGCTTTGTCTTGGCATGTAATTGTGGAGCTCTTTTGGCTGTTGGTTGCAACAGAGCTGCTATCGCAGCACAGTCCTCTCCTCACCACCCCACGTTTCCTCTCTGAAATATACGGTTTTGTTCCAATCCCACAACTCATGTTTGAGTAACGCTTCCCATTTTACTGGCGAGCATGGGGATAACTGGAACTGCTGCTCCCCAAACGTGCAGGGTGGTATTATTCCTCCCCCACATACCTTTGCCCTTCAGCTTTGTGCTGGACCTTTGCCCTGCCGTGTGCTGTTTGTTTCGGGAAGGCGGGGGAGCGCGGCTCCATGGAGCTGACTCATGGGCCCCAGCTGCTGGGATTCGGTGCCTTCTTCCACCTCAACCTCCAGTTCCAGGCTGCCAGCCACGAGGTATCACTGGATGAACCTCGCCAGAAGTCTCTTTCATTTCTATAACTCTTCTAAGCATTTTATTGTCTGTAGTAGCATGGGGAGGATTGCGCTGGGATCATTGGACAGAGCGGGGGCTTTGTTCTGCTGAAGGACAAAATAGAGTGCAAAAACAGCTGGGAATTGAGGTGCTGGGTGCAGTGCTGTATGCTTGCTTCTAAATTATGACACCCGATCCTTTCACTATGCTAAAATAGTGTGAAATTATTCAAGGGGAATGCAAAATGTCAACCTGGATAGCGTGAGGTTTCTCTTTGCACACTTGAAGCTACTTTGTAAGGAATCTCAGATACCACCTCAGTGGTAGCACTTGTTTGGCTAAATAGAGAACATTCATTTTAGTAGAAAGCTGTGCTGCTGGACCGGGTTGAGTATTTTAATCCTTACAGTTACTTGCTACAAACAGCAAGGGTTAAAAATATAATCACCTTAATGAAAACTTACATAAACTTGCATACTGCCAGAGTACTGCAAAGTCCTTTGTGACCACGCAGCTCTTGGAGGAGCTCTGGTCCTATCACAGTAACTGGGCAGACCAAGGTACAGTGCCTCACTATGGATCTCATATGTAGCAGAGCTGGGAAGGGTTTTTGCTCTCCTTTTGCCAGGAGTCTGATGAGAGTGGTGAGCTTTGTTTCTTCCCAACTATGATGTTCATGTACATTTTGACCTTTAAAAATGTTACCTGCTGGTCATTTTGGCACTGGACCCTTTACTAATG